CATGAGGGTCCAGTTGGGTTGGTTTGCTGCCGACTCGTGTAACTATCCCGCCAGGCAGGGCTTGCTTTCCTTCAGGTCCAGCATACACCAGGCCACCTGTCCCAGGTCTGAGCAGAATGGTTTTTTGGCACAGAGCACTGAAACTGTATGCAGAAAGAACGTCTGGTCTTTACCAGGTCTCCCCTGTGGACAGCTTTCTGGATTTCTCCCTTGGAAAGAGAGCTGGAGCTGGGGAGAAACCTGTAGAGATCACAGTCCAATTCACTCACTTTACGGATGGGGAGAGTACAGCCTCAGAAAAGGAGATAAACGTGCTCAAAGTTGTACAGCAAGTTAGCTGCAGGGGTAGGCCTAGAACTAGCTCTCCTGACTCCAGTCAGATTTTTTTGGTTGGTACATAAAGGTGCTTCTGTGCTAGTGAAGTGTTCAATGAACCTACAAATTGTGTACCAGGCAGGGGACGTGTCCTGAGAGTGGACAGGCCACGTAATCTCTGTCCTCTAGGAAGGTTATGACCAGGGTATTAGAGCACAAATAGAAAAATATAGCTGTCTGATTTGCAGTGGCCCTCGGGGAAGCCAGTACAGTTAGGCAAATTATACTAGGTCCAAGGGAAAAATCTATATGCCTCTGAGCATCTGCCTGACCCTCGGTGACCTGCTGAGAAAGGCGATTATCAAGATTTTTTTTGTGGCTGGGCCCAGTGGCTCACGCCTGTAATCGTAGCACTCTGAGAGGCTGAGACAGGCGGATCACTCAAGGTCAGGAATTCGAAACCAGCCTCAGCAAGCGCGAGACCCTGTCTCTACCAAAAATAGAAAAAATTAGCCAGGCAAGGTGGTACATGCCTATAGTCCCAGCTACTAGGGAGGCTGAGGCAGAAAGATCGCTTGAGCCTAGGAGTTTGAGGTTGCCGTAAGCTAGGCTGAGGTCATAGCACTCTAGCCTTGGCAACAGCAACAGAGTGAGACTCTGTCTCAAAAGAAAAAAAAAAAAGATTTTTTTTGTTTTGAGAGATGGAGTCTCACTATGTGGCCCAGGCTGGAGTGCAGTGGCTATTCACCAGTGCCCTCACAAGGGGACCACAGCCTCGAACCCCCAAGCTTAAGTGATCCTCCTGCCTCAACCTCCCAAGTACCTGGGACTACAGGCACACCCTACCACGCCTGGCTAAGATTTCTATGTTTCAGTCTTGTTAGAACCAGACAGATCACAGGACTTCCGGACCCAGCCATAGGTGAGCAGAAAGCAGGAAGGAGCCTGAGAGAATGGATTGGGGACCTCATTGTATGTGACCTGTTCCCTAAACCATCTGCTCTTGTAAATCCCTGTTTCACAGCCCAGAGCAGCTAGGGAAAGGGCCAGGGGTCTTTGAAACACAAACTGCCAGTGCATACAAGACCTTTGGATATGGAGCTGTCTCTTTTCTTCCCACATGCACGAGGTTTATAAAGGATAAGTGGAGTGTTTCTTTGGCTGGCCCAGTACCTGCCGCGGGCGCAGTGGCCAGGGGATGCTGTCGGAAGCTCTTGGGAGTGGCAGTGGCATGGTTTCCAAAAAGACAAGTTGAAAACCCAGCTACAAGGTAAGCTCCAGAGCCTAGACCCTGGCAAATTAGTCTTTTGGCCTGGTTGCCATGGAGACAGACAGGCAGCAGCTGCTGGGGAAGAAGAAACAGCAGCTTCCCCAACATCTAGGATTCTGAAACTGCAATGGTGGGGGAGGGGGCTTGACACCACCCTTTCTCCCCAAGATATTGAGGGCCCTGTCTGCCCCCCAGCTCCCAGACTCATAGGATCTGGTGAGTTGCCAGTCACAAAACAAGACGGTGGCAGTGCTGGATCCTGAAACCTCAGTTTCCTGCTTCCAGGCCAGTTCCCCCACCCCACCCCTGCACCCCACCCCCAACACCATGGTTGCTGCCTGCTCAGCTTTTGGAGCAAACAGATTTTCCAGCGCTGAGCTCCTGGGCCCTGGGAGGGTTCCCAACCGCCTCCTTGGAGGGGATAAGTCACTAGAGGTGAATCCCAGCATGTTGGCCACCAGAGGCCAATTTTTCCTCTGCTCTGTTGCTGTCTCTCTGGAAAACCTGGCAGAGGCTGAGTGGGTCTGTGACCAGCCATTGTCTAGGAAGGGAGCTTGAAGCTGAGCCCAGAGGGACCTCGGCAAATGATGGGCTTTATTGTTTCCTCATTTGATGCTACACCGATATCATTAATTTGTGGCTTCACTGCCCATGCTGCCTGCCTGGCCGCCCTCCAAGCCCTGACCTCCCTCGCCTGGTGGAAACAGTCCTCGGCTCTTCCCCTCCAGGGGTTATCTCTGGAAATTGAAGGTGGGAGAGGAGGGGCCTGGGATCCAGGTCACCTGGGTCTACTTTCTCAGCAGAGCTGCCAAGAGGTTGTGTCTCAGCATCTCGGTTTCATCCTCTTTGGTAAAAGGAGAAATGAGGCTGGTATTATCTAGGGCTTTGAGTTCCTGGGCTTTGGATGTGAGCAGAGTCCTTACGTAAGAGAACAGAGACCTAGTGTGGAGGGATAAGAGAGGGAAAACTGCAGAAAGGCAGAGACTACTACCTACCCACCAGCCTGGGCTTTGGGGTTTAATTACGAAGATTTGGTTTAATTACAAAGGTAGTTCATGTGCAGACATTATCAAAGAAAAAAAGGTAATGCCATAGAATATAAAGAAAATTAAGAAAATAACCATCACCTCAAGCCCCAATCTGTAAAAATCACTGATAATTTTGTTGTGTATCTTTTCAGATCTTTCTCTATGCTTACACTTTCCCCTCTATATTATTATAATTAACAAATGATATATTTAAAATTAACAAATGATATGAGAATGCATTTTTATAAAAGATGCAAACACCACAGATAAATGTAGAACAAAAAGCAAAAGTCTCCTTTTAATCTATTCCCTTCAACAGACAGCTACTGTTAAGTTTCATGTCCTTAATACATTTATGTACAAACACAGTTTTGGGCTTGCTTTCTTTAGTATAAATATAGTTATAACATCCACATTGCTCTGCAAGTTGCTTTCTCCACCATAATAACAATTCTTAGATTTTTCCATGGTAGTAGACCTACCCCATTCTACATAACTGCTGCTTAATAGTCTACATTTAGGATATTCTGTAACTTATTTAAGTAATCGCCTCCAATAGACACTTGAGTTGTAGTTGTTTGCAATCATTTGTTAACAATGATGTTTTGAACACTGTACAGCTCTTTATGTAGGGTTTATTTCTAAAAGTAAAATTCCTGGGTTAACATGTCTGTACATCTTTTTCTAAATACTGTGCAGATTTATTTTTATATTTTCTAAAAAATTATCTTAGCCAAAAAAAAAAAAATTGAAAAGTATAGAAAGCTATGGGGGGAAAATCACTCACAGCATTTTTCCATGTCACAAAAATATGTTTGTAAAGATCCTTTTTATAATAGGTATTATATGTACAGACCATAATTTTCTTAGCTGTTTGTCCATTTTTGAACTTTTAAGTTGCCTACCTTTTACTTTTTTCATTATGATAACACCTCAGTGAATCTTTTTGCATAAATCTTTGTCCTAAATCCAATAATTTATTTAAGCTAGATTCCAAAAGGAGTAGGACTGGGTCTAGTGGTAGGGATTTTAGTGAATCTATTTTTTTAAGTTGAATGTTATATTACTATTATATACACATGGTATGAAATTCCAAAGTTACTAAAGGTTACACAATGAAAAGAATATCTTTCTCCTACTTGATCCTTTGGCAGTTGTTTTCTGCCTTAAAGGCAACATGATTACCTGTCTTCTTCATGTGTATGTTTCTTATGGGGAAAAAAACCATATTTTTTATGTCTATTCCTTTTTTCATGTAGAAACAGCACATCAGATACATACTTTTGCACTATTCCCTTTTCACTTAATATTGCTTGATGATGGTTCTATATATAAAATAAAATAACTGCCTCATTTTCAAAAATATTGCATAGAATTCCTTTGAAATGGAAGTGCCATATTAAATTAATCAATTCCATTGATTCGTTTTTAGGTTGTTTTCTATCTTTCGCTACTGGAACAGTAGCGAATGTCCGTATGCATATGCCATTTGCACAGGTGCTGGGACGCGCCCATCTGTGCAATGGATCCCTGCATGAATGGAACTGCTGGGTCCCAGGGAATGGGCACTTTAATGTTGATAGCTATTGCTGTCTCCACCGAGGGTGACCATCTCCTCAGTGGAGGATATGGACAGTTTTTAAAGCTCTTAATACAAAAGGCCAGACTGCTTTCCAGAAAAGTGTTACCTGTTTATAGGTTCACTCCCACACGGCTCCCTCCTTCCAATGATTTGTCTGACAAGCAAAAAAACCAGTATGCCCATATTTGTCGTGTTTCTTCATTTTTTTCAAAGGGATCTGGGCAATATTAGCAAAAGTGAAAGTTAATTTAAAAAACCTTTCTAGCTGGGCCTGGTGGCACATGCCTATAGTTCCAGCTATTAGGAAGGCTGAGGCAGGAGGATCGCTTGAGCCCAGGAGTTTGAGGTTGCTGTGAGCTAGGCCGATGCCACTGCACTCTAGCCCGAGCAACAGAATGAGACTCTGTCTCAAAAACAATTAATTAATTAATTAATTAAATTAAAATCCTAGGATCTGGGAGAATTTTCTAATCCTCTTTTTGCTATATGTGCGACCTTGGCAAATGACTTACCCTCTCTTAGAATTGTCATGAGGAGGAAGTGAGATAAGACATTCAGTAAAGTCCGTGGCACAAACCAAGGGCTCAAAAGGTGGCAGCAGAGAAGAAATGTTTGTTAAGGAAAAAGTGCCAGCTCTCGAAGTAGTCCCATCAGTTGAAGGAAGGGAGCTTAGTAGGCTCTGAAACGCGGGCTGGGCGGTGCCCCCGGCTTTGTTCTTTCCCTCAAATTTTCCCGCTGGTCTTTCCTACCATGAAGAGGAAAACGGAAACCTGCCACACTAGCCCCGGGGGACAAACACCCCAGACCAAGACTGTCCCTTATGGTGCGGGGGTGGGGGTGGGGCGCACTGGGGACTGGCCCTCTTCTGGGTTCACGGATGCACCTCGGAGGATCCCAGGCGGTTGGTCTCGGGGTGGTCTGCCGACCCGAGACCGGGTGCGAAGGTTCCCTTCTCGCCGGTTTCCCACTCAATTTCTGTTCCTCCCAGAGCTAACGCCAGGGGGTGAGCCGCCTGCGCCGGGGGAGAGCACCTCCCCGCGGCCCGGCCGGGGTGGGCGCGCTGGGGCGCCAGGTGCGCGGGCTCCTTGCACCACTCTCGGCTCTGGACCGCGCCAGCCAGAGGCCCCGGCCCAACCCAGGTCCCTGCGGGCGACAGGGCGGGGTCCCTGCAGCTCGTGCTGGGCGCCACGGCTGGGCGTGCCCCTCTGCCCGGGTGCAGGACGGCCTCGAGGCCGCGCACCTCCACAGGGCGGGCGAGCCCTGGCCTCCCCCTCCCTGGCACGGAGCTGCTGCCCTGAGCAATCTGCTGCTAGAGACGCCATTTCGGTCCCCACCCTTGTCTCGGCCGAGGAAGAGCCAATCACGACGCTCGTGTGTAGCTGTGCCAGCCGCAGGTAGGGTGGGAGAGCGGCTCTGTGGGGCAGAGCGAGGCCATTTTCTGGGAGGATGTGCAGTCACTTCCACTCGTGGTATAGTCACCATGTGGGAGAGCCTCACCCCTTCCCTCCCCGCCCACCCCTTACACCGTGGTCTCTCCTTGATTTTCCCCGGAGAACTGACGGGTACAATATGGTGCGGTGCAGAGATTGTGCCCCGCGGAACCAAGCGACCTGGGGTCTGGTGTTGGCACTGAACCGCATCGCTGTGACGCAGCCCCAGTCCTCAGTCTTTCCGTATGTAAAAATGCAGGGAAGAAATAAAATCGGACCATGGCAAGTATTGATGAGATTGTGGGGAAGTGGATTCTCTCGATTTGTCCTTCTCTAGTAAACCTGAAAATATTCCTAATATGTACCCAATCATTCTACTTCTGTCTCTATCCCAGAAAGATATTTGCACATGTACTCAGGAAGGCTGTCCATTTCAGGACCATATCTAGTAGCAAACCATTGAAAAGGGCTCAAGGGCTGTCAATAGGGAATGAATAAATAAAATGGTGTCTGCATACATAACAGGTCACTATATCACAGAAGGAATAAACCAGATCCATATATGCCCTTTGTAGATAAGGCTCAAAATATATTAAATAAAAGCAGAAAAATGCATACAATCTAATTACGATTTTTTGCAACACATCAGACAGAACTGTGAATTTTCTATGGTTATATTCAAACATATATATTTGCATTTTTTAAAAAGGAAAGGAGCAGCCTTGGTGGGGAGTGGGGGTGGGGGTAAGGGGTGGCTCATGCCTGTAATCCCAGCACTTTGAGAAGCTAAGGCAGGAGGAGGATACCTTGAGAGCAGGAGTTCGAGACCAGCCTGGGCAACATAATGAGACCTTGTGTGTACAAAAAATAAGAAAAATTAGCTGGGCATGGTCATACTTGCCTGTAGTCCCAGGTACTTGGGAAGCTGAGGCAGGAGGATTGCTTGCGCCCAGGAGTTTGAGGTTACAGTGAGCTGTGATCACATCACTGAACTCCTGTCTGGGCAGAGATTCACTCCTAATCCATAATAATGGCTGGCTCTGGGGAGAGGGAAAGGGAGTTGACATAGCAAGTGGATTTCTTTGTAATATTCTCATTTTTATTTTTAAAAATGACAGTGCATTCACTTATTACTTAGGGAATTTTAAACTGCTTATTCATAAAGGAAATACTGGAAACAAATATGTCCAGCAAACAAATATGTCAAAATGTAAACAATTTAGAGCTCCAGTTAAGTAGACAATCTTTAAAAAAAATGTAAACAATTGTTAATTCCAGGTGATGGGACATATGAGTAATTGTTATTTTCTTCTTTGTACTTTTGGTTTTTCCATTTTAAACATGCAGGGAAGGGATTCAAGAGTGACTGTGTGACCCATCAAGTCCCTCAGCTCAAAGAACCTGCAATCCTGTGATTCTAGGTAGTTATCCTTAAAGTCCTAACTCCCCACCCCGCCTGCCTGGAAGAGCTTACCCTTAAGGAAGAGCCTTGGTGCTCCTGCCCCAGCTCCCTCCCCAGTGTCAAATTCATTCTTAATCATCACTCAACTTGAAACTTTCTGGCCAGAGCAAACTACTTGCAGTTCACCTGCTGTGCTAGGCCTAGGCTCATCTCTTCTGGGTGTGTAGCTGCCCTGTTTCCTCTTCCTAGCGCCCTCTTCCCTTCCTCTTTGCCTGCAGACTTCCATCAGATCTCAGCTCAGCTTCCCTTCCCTGCATCCCCTGCCCTGCCTAGGTTAGCACTCTGAGCTGATTGTCTATTTACTGTGAATTCTTGAGGCCAATTCTTGAGGAACTTGCCCTCTTCCTGCCTGTACTGCCAAGGCCTAGCACAGGGCCTGACACCTCATGGTTTCTCAGCAACCGTCTGTTAAACGAATAGAAAATCAAAAGCAACTCATTCTTCTCTGGGCTGAGTTTTCTGATGCTCCTCCCAGAAGCTCTGAGGGTTCTGCTTGCTCAAGTGTAGAGGCAGAACCAGGATTTGGGCTCAGAGACTGGCTCCAGAGCCCACATTCACTCTTAACCACTGTGCTCTGAGCCCCTAACGCATTCAGTGTGTTCAGTACATACCAGGTATGTACTGAGAGCCTACTATGCGTCAGACACTGTATTATATAGTAATGAAGACACAGCCCCTATTCTCATTGATCTTATATTCAGGTTGGGCAGTAGTGGGTGGAGGAGGACTCAGAAAATAAATAAGTATATATTTGCCTTCTTGTGATCTAGAGATGAAATATATAGGATGATGGGAGAAACGGTTTGGAGGGCGGGGGAAGATGAGGAGTTCAGTTTTGGACGTGTTTGGTTTGAAATGCCAGTGAGACACCCAAGTGAAGATGTGGAGTAGGAGGTGCATAAATAAGTCTGGAGTCCAGGGCATGAGCCTGGGCTGGATATATGCATTTGGAAGTCAGCAGCATAGACAGTATTAAAACCGCAGGGACCGTAGGCCCAGGCTGTGGTGTGGCTCACGCCCTGGGAAATCTTAGCATTCTGGGAGGCCGAGGCAGGCGGATTGCCCGAAGTCAGGAGTTTGAAACCAGCCTGAGCGAGACCTCGTCTCTACTAAAAATAGAAAGAAATTAATTGACCAACTAAAATATACATACAAAAAAATTTAGCCGGGCATGGGTGGCGCATGCCTGTAGTCCCAAACTACTGGGGAGGCTGAGGCAGTAGGATCTCTTGAGCCCAGGAGTTTGAGGTTGCTGCCTGAGCGTAGGCCTGATGCCATGGCTCTCACTCTAGCCCAGGGGCAACAAAGTGAGACTCTGTCTCAATAATAATAATAATAAAAATAAAATTTAAAAAAAACCACAGGACTGTCTGAGATCACCAGGGCAGTGGTTGGGTCCAGAGAAGAAGCCGGAGTACTGAGTCCCGCAACACTTACAGATGAAGGAAATGAAGGGAGCAGCTCATGAGGTGGGAGGGAAACTGGAAGAGTATAGTGTCCTGGAAGCCAGGTGAATAGAGGTTCAGGGTCAGCTGTGGCAAGGGTTGGACAGGGGCAAGTCTATGGACAGGATTGTACAATGAGGGAAGGAGCCATTGCAGGAGCAGCGAGGCAGGAGCCCAGAGAGATGGGCGAGAGTTGGATCATGGAGGGCTGGTTACCGTGCTCAGGAGTTTGGCCTTTAATCCCTTATGCACTGGGTAAAGTGGAGGGACAGGATCAGATTTTTTTTTTTTTTTTTGAGACAGAGTCTCGCTTTGTTGCCCAGGCTAGAGTGAGTGCCGTGGCGTCAGGCTACGCTCACAGCAACCTCAAACTCCTGGGCTCCAAGCGATCCTCCTGCCTCAGCCTCCCGGGTAGCTGGGACTACAGGCATGCGCCACCATGCCCGGCTAATTTTTTATATACATATCAGTTGGCCAATTAATTTCTTTCTATTTATAGTAGAGACGGGGTCTCGCTCTTGCTCAGGCTGGTTTTGAACTCCTGACCTTGAGCAATCCGCCCGCCTCGGCCTCCCAGAGAGCTAGGATTACAGGCGTGAGCCACAGCGCCCGGCCTAGGATCAGATTTTTAAAGTGAACCCTGTAGTGACATGAGGCTGAGGCTGACTTGCTTTAGGCAGCCATGGTATTAGATAAGGTTTACTTATATTTAATTAGATAACAATGTTTAAAAATCAGGAGATTTTACAAGATACAAGAAGTCCTAAATTCTAGTTTTTCTACTCACACATTGTTGTAAGACAGCCAAAGCTGAGCAGAAGCCCCATGTCCTGCATTGAATTGTGGTCCCATAAAAGACACTGAAGTCTTAACCCCCGGTACCTATGAAAGGGACCTTATTTGGAAAATGGGTCTTTGCAGATGGTCAAGTTAAGATGAGGTCATTAGGGTGGGCCCTAAACCAGTATGACTGGTGTCCTTATAAAAAGGGGAAATTGGGGAAAATTGGGACACAGAGACCGACGCACATAGAGCGAAGACATGGGGAGAACACCGCCTACAGGGCAGGGACCCGCTGAGGCTACTGGAAGCCAGAAGGGAGGAATGGAACAGATCCTCCCTCAGAAGGAGCCAACCCTGCTGGCACCTTGACCTCAGATGTGTAGCCCCCAGAACTGTGAAATAATACATTTCTGTTGTTTAAGCCACAGAGTTTGTAGCACTTTGCTGTGACAGCCCCAGAAAAGCAGCGCACCCGCCTCCTCCCGCCTAGGGCGGCCTGTACACTCCAGTCTGCAGCAGTCCTCTCTCCACAGTCCCCTCTTTGCTGCCTTTTCTCCCTGCTCCTCCGCAGGGATTTGAGTTGGCAAGAGTGGGTGCTGGGAAGGGACCAGGGGGCAGCCTGAGGACTGATCAGGAGGCTGCTGTAGTAATCTAGCAGCCTGGTGGGGGCTGCACACACCCTGGGGCAGCGCTGCTTGCTAACTGATGCAAGGGCTTAGTGAAGGAGGTCTTGTGTCTATTAGCAGTGAGCCCCTGAAGGTCTATAAATCAACCCCGAGTTGCAGCAACGCATATGCTTTTCTTCCCCTCCTGTGTTTTCTCTTGCACAGCATCCCACCCTCCTCCACCTGACACCCAGCCACCCCCACCTTCCTGGCTTAAATTCCACTCAGTGTAGATTTCACCCGCCTTGGAATGGGTGTCATTTCAGCAGCCTTCCTTTTAACTTCCTGTGACAGCTGTAACCTCTGTTCTCACTGAATTGCTAAGATTGCTGATAAATGCCAACTGCTTAGAAGCTTTGTAAGTGACTGGGGACGTGCTCCTGTGCTCCTGGACTGTGGAATGGCTGAGAAATTTAATGAGTTAAAAGAAACTAGTAATTCCCCCCATCCGCATTTTTAGGCGCACAAGAGCCCATCCAGAAACAGACTAGGTCTAAAATAAAAATCATCCTCCTAGTCCCTGTAGGGGGAACAGTCAGGTTACCCCTTAGAAGCCCTAGAAGCCCAGCAGAGGGCTAGGGCAGCAACCTCACCAGCCCCACACTGTTTTTCTTGCTCATATTTTGATTATTTGGAAAAGGTTGGTTGGAGGAGACAATAGAAAGCAACCACCCCAGCCTCCTTGTTAAAGAAATGTCACTGGCTAAGAAGACAAGATAATACATTCAAGGTGAGGTCCTGGATTAGATCCTGGAACACAAAATGAACCCCAATAGAAAAATGGGGAATCCAGTTAAAGTCAGCCATTTAGTTAATAGCATTGTACCAATGTTAATGTTTTAGTGTGGATAAACGCACCATGATTATGTAAGATGTTAACGTAAAAGGAAGCTGGCTAAAGGGTACATGGGAACTCTGTGTGTGTACCATCTTTGCAACTCTGTGGAAATTGAAAATGATTTTAGGCCGGGCTCAGTGGTTCACGCCTGTAATCCTAGCACTCTGAGAGGCCGAGGTGGGTGGATCGCTCAAGGTCAGGAGTTTGAAACCAGCCTGAGCAAGAGCAAGACCCCGTCTCTACTATAAATAGAAAGAAATTAATTGGCCAACTGATATATATAGAAAAAATTAGCCAGGCATGGTGGCACATGCCTATAGTCCCAGCTACTCGGGAGGCTGAGGCAGAAGGATTGCTTGAGCCCAAGAGTTTGAGGTTGCTGTGAGCTAGGCTGATGCCCTGGCACTCTAGCCAGGGCAACAGAGTGAGACTCTGATTCAAAAAAAAGGAGCTAACTTGCTAGTGAGGAGGCCAAATATGTACGGATAGCTACGGTACCAGCACAGTGGTGGCGGTCAGAGAGATTAACCAAGAACTTGAAGGTGGGGAGAATTTCAATCTAGACAGAAGCCAAGGGACTTAAGGCCTCGTGGGGGTTGGTGCTATAGACTGAATGTTGTGTCCCCTCCTCTGCAATTCATATGTGGAAGCCTGTCCCCCAACACATTGGTTTGGAGGTGAGGCCTTTGGGAGACAATTAGATCATGAGAGTGGAGCCCTCATGAGTAGAATTTGTGCCCTTATAAAAAGAGGAGTAGACATGAGATCTCTTTCTGCTCTTGGCCATGTAAGGATATAAGAAGACAGCTGTCTGCAAACCGGGAGGAGAGCCCTCACCAGACACTGGATCTGCTGGTGCCTTGACTTCCCAGCCTCCAGAACCGTGAGAAACAAATGTTTGTAGTGTAAGCCCCCCAGTGGATGGCACTCTGTTACAGCAGCCTGAACTAAGACAGTTGGTGCCAGCAAAACCCTGAGACGTACAGTGTATGACATTTCAGGGAGCTGGGAATAGTCCAATAAAGCTGAAATTTAGTGGGGGACAGGGGAGAGAGAGAGAGTGAGGGTAGAAGTCTCAGAGACACAGGAGGACCTAAGATGGGTAAGGAGGACACAATTGATTCTCTTCTGTTTTTTAAATATTTTTTTTGTCATTAATTAAAGTGATAGGTGTTCATTTTAAGAAGTTTGGAAAACCCAGAATAGTACAAACAAGAAAACCAAACTCAATTGTTATTTTATTCTTCAGAACTAATATTTTGTGCATTTTCTTTGTTATATTTTGTTCCTAGTTGAGCTCATACTGTACAGTTGTGTAGGCTTTGTTTGTTTTATCTAGCATAATATCATAAGCCTTCCCTATCTCATCAATAAAGTATCTTAGGCCGGGCGTGGTAGCTCATGCCTGTAATCCTAGCACTCTGGGAGGCCAAGGTGGGCAGGATTGTTTGAGTCCCAGGAGTTCGAGACCAGCTTGAGCAAGAGTGAGAGCCTGTCTCTACTAAAAAAATAGAAAGAAATTAGCTGAACAATTAAAAGTATATATATAAAAAAATTAGCCGGGCATGGTGGTGCATGCCTATAGTCCTAGCTACATGGGAGGCTGAGGCTGGAGGATCGCTTGAGCCCAGGAGGTTGAGTTTGCTGTGAGCTAGACTGACACCATGGCACTCTAGCCTGGGCAACGGAGTGAGACTCTGTCTCAAAAAAAAAAAAAAAAAAAAAAAGGTATGTTGTGAAGGAGGAGAGGAGAAACAAAAATAAATTAAAAAATAAAAAGAATCAGCCAGATATGGTGCTTGCTTGTAATCCTCCCAGCTCCAGGAGGCTGAGGCAGGAGAATCACTTGAGGCTAGGAATTCAAGACCAGCCTGGGTGATATAACAAGACCCCATCTCAAAAAAAAAAAACGTCTTAAGAAAAAGGAGGAAGAGGTCCTTCAGGTTGACTGATCTGGAGGTAGATTGTAATGACTTCATGGAGGGTCTCAGATTCCAGAATCCTTGGACTATTAGCCAAGGAACGGAGTCACTAATTTTTTTTTTTTAGGTTTCAGAAATTTTTACTTTTCTCATATGATGTGCTCCAAAGGTAAGTTTATGAAATATTTTCAAGCTGAAAATGGCATGATCAGAGCTGTGCTTGATGATTAATACCTGAGCTGTCACTTATTGAGAGTTTATTATGCTAGGGACTCTACATATATTATTTCTTTTAGTCCTGACAACTCTATGAGGTAGAGGCATTGTCCCCATTTCACACATAATGAACACAGGCCCCCAAAGGGGAAGTCACGTGCCCAAGCTCATACAAATAGTAACTGAACAGCACCTGCAGCATCATATAAAGCACAGGATTCAAATTCCCTCTGTGACATAAACTAGCCACGTGACCTTGGGCAAATGTCTAAAATTCTCTGGGCCTTTCCCCCCTACTCATAAAATAAATAGGGGGGTAGCCTCATAAAACAGTTTAGAATAATAGCTTTTAGCTTTTAGCTAAAAGCATAGAGTCAGAGCCCACTACAAAAGCTCTGCCACTTCTGTGTGGCCTAGTTGAACAAGTGATTTAATCTCTCCCCAGCCTTGCTGCTAACGTCTGCCAGACCCAGGGCAGACGTGTAAAAGGGAAGCCCACACACCACATGGCTAAGTATTTAAGAGTTATAAATCAAACTAACTGTTTAAAAAATATATATCCTTTAGCCTCCTACCTTGACAAATATGCCTCCATAATAACCTAGAAAGGTAGGTTTTGTGTTGAGAATTCTTGGATTCCTTGGAATTCCATGTGAGAACACAGCGGAGCCAGCTTCCTTCTCTTCCCACTCCCCAGCCCACGTGTGCAGGTTCTGTCTACACCCCTTACAAATAGCCAGCTCGGGACTGAGGGGTGCCCTCACTGGCAGGAAGTTTGCCTTTGGGAGGGTGGACCCAGGGAAGGGGCTGGCCTAGATGCCAAAGTAGACTTGGGCCATTTTGGCTGGGAATTCTCAAGTTCTGGGCACCCAGAGAGTGGTCTAGAAGGGGTTCCCAGGCTCTGGGTGGGCACATCTCTTTGGCCCCAGGGGACCCCTTGCCTGTGAGGAGGGGCACAGCTAGAGGACGATCAGGGTACAACCCTCTAAAACACTGGGCCTAGGACAAGGACCCATTTGACACGTGTAAGAAAGGTACTGCCTCTCTATGCCTCAGTTTCCCTTAGGATGACCAACTCATCTGGGCTTGCCTGTGACTTTCCCCGCTTTAGCACTGAAAGTCCTGCATGCTGGAAAAACCCTTCAGTCCTGGGCAAACCTGAATAGTTGGTGCCCCTCATTTCCTCATCTTTACGATTAGGCTAATAGTATCTCATAAGGTTGTCATGAGAATTAAATGAGTGAATACACATGGAGTGTTTAGACCAGTGCCTGCCATGTGGTACACATTCTGTGCCAGCTATTATCATTTAAAAGATTCCATTCTACTGGAAAATGCTGAATTTCTATAATTGGAGGCTTCGAGTGAGAAAGAGGAAAGAGTTGAGTCTGAGTGAGGTTTTAGACCTGGAAAGCAAGACTCTAGCAGAGCCACCATCTGACGGGGGAAGCCCAGATGTGACTGGTGGGAGGCTGCTAGCTCAATGTGCGTCACACGGAGTTGGAGGGCCTTATGGGGCATCCGGGAGGAGATGTCCCTTAGGCAGTCAGAAATGTGATTTCAGCATTGAGAATAGCGATGGGAGCCTAAGAGGAAGATGAAGAGTCATCCCCAAAAAAGGAATCGCTAGAAGAAGGTCCAGACTTCTATCAGAGGGAGGAGGGTTAGAACCTGGAGACAGAAGACTGGCCAGGGGCAGCAACCTGTTGGCCTCATTCCACTTAACATGTTTATAATCTGCGCACTTTACCACAGTTCAATGACTTGAAATGTCATTGATTTTAAGACATACCATTATTCTATGTACCACTAAGAAAAAAGGCTGTCCATGATTACGACTTGCTGTAATATTATTGACTATGAGGACCAACTGATTTCAAAGATACAAAAATGTGAAAAAAAATATTAGAATTAAATAAGATATATGCCAAGTATGTGTCAGGCAGCACGGGGAGAGGAGTAGGATCCAGTGATGAAAAAGACCCCACCTTCAGAAGCTTCCAATCTCACAGTGACACCTGCAGCTACTTTTACCACAAGACTGACTGTGACAAGTGCCACAGTGCAGGCACCAGAGCTGTTCTGAGATCAGCTGCTGCTTGTCAGGTGTTTAGAGGAGTTATTAACATAGACAGAATTGACAGCCACGTCTTTCTTGGGATTTCTAGTCCTCCTCCTCCTTTTCCCTAATGCGTGAAATTTCTAGGGACAAAGCCTTTCAAACCATTTTTGAATGAATTGAGATAATGAATTAAAACACCACATGGTGAGTGTTGAATTGGTACAACTCCTGTGGAAGGCAATTTGGCACTATCCAAATTATTATACAAATGTGTTTTGCCCTTTGACCCTGCAATACCACTTCTAGATAAATCTTACAGATATACTCACCCACATGGGAAATGCCATATGAACTAGGTCATTCATTACAGCATTGTTTGAAATAGCAAATTACTAGGAATAACCTAAGAGCGATGGATAGAGCACTGGTTAACTGCATCTTGGAATATTCATACTGTGAGAACAAAGTCAAGGAAACGCTCGATGTAGAAGTATGAATAGGGAAAAGATCCCTGACATAAATTATTAAGTGAAAACTGCTAAGCACAGAACAGTTTATAGGAGGCTAACAATTGGGGAAAAAAAGAAAACAAGAGGATAAAAATGCATATCTACAAATTTGCCTGTCTACATACCAAGAAATTCTAGGACACACAGGAAGCTGGTAACAGTGATTATGGTGAAGGAGGGGTTGGTGGAGAACTTAGCAAACACACATAGAGAAGGCAGGAGGAGGAGGACTTCTTATATTTTCTTTTCTTTATTTATTTTTTATTTTTTAAAAATATTTTTAATATTTCTCTTTCTTTTTTTTTATTTTTCTTTTTCTTTCCAAGGTATCTAAAAAACTATAGGTGGATATATTTTATTTTTAAGCCGTGTGAATGTATTATCTATTTAAAATGTTAAATTATTTGAATTTTTAAAAATACCAAATGGGAAGAGTTAACCCAGTGACAATTCCCACCAAAGGGTGAAAGTCTAATATTCATTCATTCATTCATTCATTCATTCAATAACCTATAGCAATCAAGGAACTTCTCTAACAATGATACGTGACAAGTGCTCAGCACTTTCGATGTGCCAGGCATTGTGCAAAGCATTTTCGTGTGCATGATCTCATTTAATCCTCACCACCCCCCTATGGTGCAGGTGTCTAATACTACGGAAGAGGAAACTGAAGGTGACAGGGATTGTTCTTGCCTAAAGTTCTTTGCAAACATCCAGGCGCCACCGTCGAGGGCCAGGCTTGGCACTGGGCGCTAGGGAGAAGACAAAGACTCACCACCCTGCCTCCAGGACCTAATGGTCTACCGAGGGAGAAAGACGTATGAAATAGATTCACAGACAGGTTTTGAACAGAGAAAGGAGTGTCAGAGCACAGTGCCTGAGGATTAGCAGACAAAGGGAACAGAGAGGCTGGGGACAACAAGAATACCTCTCCCACGACACCCTTTTGCCAGGGACAGGCCCCGAAAGCAGCCTATGTGGGAGACAAGCCTTGCAGCCCAACAATGAACAAAGGCTGTCCAGGGCTCTCTGGCAGTAGAGGAGATCTGACAACAGCCCAGAAGGCCATTTGATCAGTGTAGACATTCCTTCTAGACTTTGAAGCCTGAAGTGCTCTCCTTTAGCTGTCTACATAGATCAAAGGCTGGAGGACTGCCATATCTCGACTTCGCTTTGCGCCGCGCCATAGTCACAGCTAGCTCCACAACAATCCGACCAAGCCATCTGAGCAAGGCAAAAATAATTCTCGCACGCAAAGATAGACAGTTCCAAGATGTGAACATTAACTCCTTGCTGCCACTGCAGGGGGAGGGGATCTTGAACTTAGTTTTAGAAAGCTTTCGAGAGGGGAGATTCTGCACCTCTCCAAAGTCAAGTAGCAAAACTATTTTCTCTCCTTACAGTTGAAAGCCTTCCTGTTCCAAGGCCCATATAGGGACACCAATGGGAGTTGACAATAATTAGCCGTGGTCTGGCTCTCAGAAAGGCAGCCTCA